GGTTGGATCTGTCCATGATCTGAGATCTATCTCGGAGTATTGCTCATTTGTGTCGGGAAACCTGCTTACTTGGAAAACCAAAAAACAGTCAGTGGTTGTCCGAAGCATTTCTGAAGCAAAATTTCAGTAATAGTATTATAATATTTTAATGGTTAGTAATAACCATTATTTATTTTTTATTATTTTGAGTTATTTCTTCCGATATTCTTACTTTTTCTATTATATTCAATTGTATTTCCTTCATTTTCTATTATACCTTGAGTTTGATTTTTTCCTTTTTAGTTGATCCTGTAATGGGCATGTATATCCCTCTTTGTATCAATAACAACTTTTCTAGTTTTATTCCAACAAGGCTTATTTTAGCATGTGTTCGAAACAAATTTTTTATAATTTAATGAGGGTAATTTACAAATGTGGCACATAATTCTTATGTGTTTACACATCTCACACCTATACTTTCATATTTAGATACATGGTAGTTTGGTGCTTTAAACCTATGCATAAAAAGGTGCATTTCACTTTGAAAAAGCAATAATAGTATTATTTTTTATATAATTCTAAAAATTTGAGTACTGTGTGAGTGAATATGAAAATTTAGCTTTGAGATATATAAATACATAAGAATTGTATGTTTTGTTTGTAAATTCTTCTAATTAGAAAAGACTTTTTTTTCATAATTTTTGAACTCAGATTTGTCCGTGAATAACACGTAAGGAATAGAAAATAAATAAGGAGGGAGAAAAAGAGAAAGCAGGGCAAGACACGAGTCTTGATAGAGCCGAATTTGTAATTCCCTCACACATTTACAAAAAAGTTCCCTTTTACACATTGTTCTCATATTTATAGTAATTATAAATTATTTTATGAAATGTCAGTAATACTCTTAAGATTCTCTATTGCCTGTTGATCGGTCGCAGTAACTGTCAAGACTACAGTTATTTTCTCCAAATCCTTTCTTATCGAATCTTCATTTTGCTCGCTTTCATGCTAACGAGTCATTCATTTGCTTATTCAGTCCACCTTCTCGGCTCAGTCAGCCATATAATTTGCTCCATGTTTGTTGAAAGGCAAATATTTGATCATCTGTTGCATTTTTTCTTGTAGATACTTAAATTTTAATCCTTTTTTATAATCCAGTATTTCTTAATTTTGAACCAAAAAATATTTTCTTCTGTAATTCCAGTAGAGGACTGATTACAGAGGCATATAGCAAATTTTGTAGGATTTGTGATCGTTAGGATTGTGATTAGATTAAGGGCATTTATAAACATAGCACACAATTCTTATGTATTTACATATCTCACACCTAAACTTTTATATTTACACGCATATCCCTCAAATCTTTAACATCACATAAAAATAGATTTTAACTGCGTGATATTTATATATATAGCACACAATTCTTATGTATTGACATATCTCACACCTAAACTTTTATATAATTTTTTATATTTAACATCTAAATCTTAACTGCGTGATATTATAACTAAAAAGATTTCACATGCATACCACTCAATTCTTACCTATTTACATATATCACCCAATAACGTCAACTTTTATTTATATGCGAGGTGTATTTTATTTTTCTTATTTTTAGTTAAAAAAAGTAATATTTTTGATGTGATACATAAATTTGGGCGATATAAATGTAAAATCAAAGTTTAGGTTTTGGATATAATACATAAAAAATGGGTGGTAAAACAAAAATTTTTTACTGCATTTCCCACACGTTAAGCTGACTCTTGATGCGGGTTCAACTTATGAAAAAATATTGCATCACAGTCCGAACGTAGTTTTGCGTCCGACTCCAATAATATTTCACTCGGTGTAAAATTGCAGACCAGCTGAAAAAAAAAGAGATAAATGTGTATTTTGGCATGCGATTCAACCCGAACACCAACCCAGTGCTTCAAAAATTAAACCCTGCACGCCTCTTCAATATTCATTTCCTTCTATCGCCAAACAAGAAGCAGTCCATATTTAGGGTTTTGCAGACCATTTTTCATATTCAATATTGGTAGCTAGGGTTTTGAAAACTTCAAAATAGTCGGTTACCAGACGAGAAACAGCCACGGTCCCTCTCTCTTGCCATATAAATTATTGTAATGTTTAGGTTTTTCCGAAACAACACTTGCGTCCGGATTTAAGGTTTATTGTGCAAACTCACTCATATATTTTTCCTTTTCTTTTTAAGCAAGCTAACATAGAAAAATGAAAGAACCCAAGGAAAACAGAAAGTAAAGAAGTCGACATAGAGCATCTAGGTAAATTGGAACTGTGGTATTAATTCCATTCAAAAGTTTATTATTTACAGTTTTGACTATATTAACCATATCATGAGCAAAACAGTAGAATGTTGCCATTAAATTAGCATAATATTGCATTAATAACACTACTATACAACCACACTATTAACCCCACATTACAACCACTAATAACATTATAATATAACCACATTTGTGTCATAATAACACCATAAAATTGCACTAATAACACCACCATACAACCACATTATTAACATCACAATATGACCAAACGAATAACACCACTATATAACCATATTTGTATAACAATAACACCATATTATTGCACCAATAACACTAAAATACAACCACATTTATATCACAATAACACCATAATACTGCACTAATAACCCAACTATACAATCACATTAATCATCCCACATTACAATCACAGTACTAACACCACAATATAACCACATTTGGTGTTATTCTGGAGTGAAATGGTTTTATTGGGGTAATGTTGCGGCATTCTAAGGGAAAGTTTGGTAGTATTATACAGTTAAATTTGTATTATTGGGATGTTAATGTGATGTTATTATGTGGGTAATTTGGTAGTATTATTATTTTAATTTGGTGGAGTATAACGAATGTTATTATGCTTATTTATTAGAGTTTATATGATGTTATTTTGGTGCTGATTTGTTAATATTATGGTGACAATATGATGTAGTTCTGATGTTGAATTGGTATTTTCATGTAGGTTTTTTTATGGAAATTTGATTGTGTAAAATTGTTGATATGGTGTTATTATGGTGATATCTCAATTGTATTCTGGTTGAGTTGTTATTAATTATTATGGTGATAATTTGGTTCAACTTTAGTGGTATTGTGGTTATGATGTTATTGTAAATGCAACTTGGTGATATTTTGTTGTTGGTTTGGTGTTATTTCATTTTAATTCGAATAGCACAACACTACACTGACATCACAATATGAATAAAATACAACATCAATCCCACATTAATACATCATAATTACACTCCAATAATACCACAAATTATTAAAATATCACCACAAAATCACCTTAATATCACCATAAAATCATCACAATGTCACAACAATAACACCAAACATCACCAAACCAACACAATATGAACAAAGGACAACCTCAATCTCACCTCAATACAACTAAAACACCACAACACAATCACAATGCCATAACAATACAACCACAATATCATCACAATAACACCTCAAAATCACAACAATACGAACAAAATATAATCTCAATCTCACCTTAATACAACCACAATATCATTCTAATAATACTACAGACTAATACAATACCACAAAAATAATATAGTAATAAATCACCTGAATGCCACCACTAAATCATCAAAATACATCCACAAAACCACCACAATCTGAACAAAATACAACATCAATCTCACCCCCGCATCCCGCTAAAGAAAAAAAATACATCGATTTTTGTGTCATTTGTGTGCACGCGTAACACTAGCAATACATGTGTCCTTCTTAGCTAAAGTTGATGTTCTGGACGCGTCGGCGCGGTACATTTCGTCATCCGGAGTCAGCCGAGCGATTTCACCGATGATCGGGCCAAAAATGTGTCAAATTCGTGCGTGGTGTAATGAGTGTTGCTGAGTCACAGAGGGTTCACCTATGGCCGTCTGATCCTATGGGAACTCATTTTCAGGCCCTCTACAATGTTAGTTCTTAGTCCTTGCAACTAAGAGTTGAGTGCTTGAGACTACTCATGCGAGTTTCTTTGCGAGCTACTCATGCGAGTTTCTTCACAAAAATGAGTCAAGAAGTGGTTTGAAGTTCTGCGGGAGGTGAGTTCCATTGCTAGTCCGCTTGGATGATCAATAAAAATTCCTAAAGCTAGATCCTAGGTTCTAAGAGTATGAGACTAAGACCTCATTAAAAATGAGGTCAACACCCCACTTCATCAATTTTATTATTAGAAGTGCAAAACCCCAATGACACGGGAGCGTCCTATGGAACTGTGAGATCAGGCCTCCTGCGATCCCGATTGTAGTATTTCCACAATACTAGTTCAGTAACACTACAAACTACTACAATACCAACAAAATAATAGGAAAATACTATCAGAATAAGATCACAATACCACTTCAAAATCAATAGCAATAGTAAATACTACCAAAAAAACATCTCCACCCGAATAACTAAACAATTACACCACTAAATCATCACAAAAAACACCAGAAAAGTAACATAATACAATTGATTAGAATTACAAAGGAAACATGCAAACATAAATTAATATCATCTTTTCAAACGCTTCTAAACTGGCTTATATTTTAAACTTCTCGTCATTATTTTCAGATTTCATCTCAATATTTTTTATCTGATCTGTTGTTCACAAATAACACAAGGATATCGACTTAAATCTAATGGGGGGAACTTCAAGAAAACATTCTGACCACAAGCAAAACCCAAGCTCTTTATGCACCAGATTTTGAATAGTACGTCGAATTTTGAACAGTGCGCCCGAAATTTAAACATTGGATTATATTCTTTTCTAATTTTCATGCTGATTTGGGCCGGATCATATGTCGAAATATACTTTTATGTCATTTTTTTCAGGTCTGCCATTTTATACGTGTCGAAATGTCATTTGAGTCCGGACATACAATTGCTTCCGAACTCCTACGCAAATTGCATAATGCAATATATTGTTTCCTGGTTACAACACAGCTGGCTATATTCAAACGATACATCGTTCCGCCGGAACAACAGATTCCACCAATCTATTTGACGGTTCCTAAAGTACCGAAATCTTCCGCTGCCGAAGTTGAAGAAACCAAAGGGCATATCTGCTGTTTTCTGAAGCTGAGTTCCTGTCGAATTCTTCTTCGAAGTTAAGATCGATCGAGTTCCAACCCTAAAAACTATCACCCTCCGATCTCCCTGGTAAAATCTTCTTAAAGTGGCCGAGATGCAGCACGGAGGCGACTTCGGCTCCCAGTACTACGCCCACCAGCATCCTCCCTCGCATCCGAACCCTAACCCTACCCCTAATCCCAACGATTTCCCTCCTTCTAATTCGATCCATTTGTCTTACGCCTCTGCTCCGCCGTATTCGCATTATACCCCCTCGATCACCGCTGCTGCAGCCCCTTATCCTTCCTTTTCGCAGCATGCGGATCCAATGACAACCGTACCGCCCTCGGCTCCATTGTATTCTCAGCCTCAATCCCAATCTCAAGACGCGGCATCGCAGTTCCCTCCCTATGCGAATTACAGCTCATCTGTCTTCCAGCCGGAGATGTCCTCCACTCCGCCGTTGGCGTCGTATTCTAATCTTCAACAACCTACTTCGGCCCCCTACCATTCCTATGACTCCCATCACAACTATACTCTCCCAAATCCCAATCCTGATCCCATTCATACGTCCGATTTTAATGCCCCCGTCCCCTCCGTTTATGCTCCAAGTGAAACCCCTTATCAGGTTGGTGGCCCGAGATTCGATCATGCAGGTGGGTACTACAATGAAAATTCTGGAAAGTATGGCCTGAGTGCTGCTGGATCTTTTGGGCAAAGCCGGTCGGGTTATGATCAGGATTATTATGAGAAGCGGCCTGAAAGGGAGTTTCAATATGGGCATGTTAGTGCGCAGGATGATGGATTAGGAGATGGGGTCTATGCCTATGATGGCGGCAGATCGGAGCCCTACGGTGCTCGTGGAACAGTACCTAGATCTTCATCTTCATCAGCTTGGGGAGGTTTTGATGATTATGGGAGGTCTACGAGCTTCTCGTCTGGTAGGAGTGACCAAGCTGGGAGTGCTGGCAGGATTATCAGGGCGGTGCCTAAGGCAGAAACTCAGCAGGATGTGAAGAGTGGAGTGCAGAAGTTCCGGGTTAAGCTTTTGCCGGAAGGTTCGAGCGTGAATACTACTGATGTTCTTTGCCAGGTTTGCATGGATAAACTTTGCTCAGTTATCAAACTTTTTAGTGTCAAGTTTAAGCTTCAACTTGTTCATATTTAAATTAGCTGGTGTTGTTTTCGACGACATCAATGTGTTTATGAAATATAGGGCTGTAAATTAAGTCGAACCAAGTACTACTCTGTTATAATTTTTTAATTATTTTCTTATCAAGTTAGAATAGAGTTTTTGAAATTTTCAAATTCTTATTTAAATTTCTTTGTTAATTTTCTTAGAGTTTGAGCTATAATTGAACTTGGTTTATGCTTTTCGCTGATGATATCCTTCTTGTGGACAAGACTAGAAAAAGAGTTCAGGAAAAGCTTCAATTATGGAGGACTATATTGGAGTTTGAAGACTTTTATTTGAGTAGACCTAAAACTTAATATATGTATTATAATTGTAGTAGTAGTAACTATTGTGGCAGAGTTGTAAATATGGGTGATCAAATCTTTAAATGATGTGATTGTTTTAGATACATCAGGTGTATCGTTCAAGTGATGGTGATATAGATGGGAATATTATTTGTAGAATTCAAGTTGGTTGGTGGAAGTGGAGGGATGCATCGGGCCTATGGTAGATAGAAAAGTACCTCTCAGACTAAAAGGAAAATTTTATAAGATGGTAGTAGTGAAACCTGCAACGTTTTATGGCGCAGAATGCTGGCCTTTAAAAGAGAACCATTAAACAAAGTTGATTATTGCTGAGATGAGAATGCTTAGGTGGATGAGTGACTTGACACTTAGAGACAAAATGCGAAATGAATATATCCGTGATAGGGTTGTTGTTGTTCCAGTGGTGGACAAGATTAGAGAGAGTCGTTATAGATGGTTTGTTCATATTAAACACCGGCCATCTGATGATCCTGTTAGAAGAGTTGATGTTTTATATTTGACTTATGTTAAAAGGGGAGGGGGGGGCAAGACCTAAAAGCCTTGGGAAAATTATATAAAAAATGATCTTAATTTATTAGAATTTAATGAAAATATGATACTCAATAGGACACAATGTTGAAAAAGGATTTATGTACCTGACCCGCTTAGTGGGATAAAAGTTTGTTTTTGTTGTTGTTGTTGTTGTCAAGCTATAATTGACCTTATTTTTTTTTATGCTTATGATTTAAATATGTAGCTTTATTAGTTAACATGAATAAATTTATTATTTTTAATCAAAGTTAATATAATATCTCAAGTATTATTTATATTTGTTTCGTAATTTTAAATATTTATAATATAAAATTTAATTCATTTTTTGGTCTATTTATTTTCGTAATAATTGTTTGATATTTCCATATTTCTTATTAAAATGCATAGAATATAAGAAAATAAAACAAAACAATTAAGTAATCAATTAGTTTATCATTAAGGGTCTGTTTGGGACAGCTGCAGTTGTTTGAAGAAACTGTTGTGAAGTTGCTGCGGAAGAAATAACTTTTTGAAAAACTGCGGTAATTATTATAAATTTATTTTATTTTCAAATAGTAAGACCAGATCTTTCTGTCAATGACCACACTTTAACAACTCAGGTTGAAAAAAATAAGTTTTTTATCATAAAAATTTTTAAAAACAACAAGAAAGCAGTTTCTCAAACTGAACTGTTGTAGCAGTTTGAAAAACAATGTAGGCAGAAAGTTGTCCCAAATAAATCGCATCTTTCTGGCAGTCACCACATTTTAATAACTCAGGTTGAAAAAAATAACTTCCATTCACACAAATTTTTAATAAGCAGCAAAAAAGTAGTTTTCCAAACATAATTGTGGCAGCGGTCTGAAAAGCAAAACAGATAAAAAACCATCCCTAATAGATCCTAAATGAGCATTTTATTGTGGTCTTTGCGAGCTTTTCGTTGTTTAACAAATGAACACTTTTATGAGACAAATAAAGAAGTGGATAAATGTGTAAACTTTTTCATTTGAGCTTAATTTTTTTTTTCTTCCAAGATTATTCCATTTTTTCAATAAAACAAACATAAACTAACTTTTTATGCACAATAATTCTGTTTGAACTTAGTTAATTTGAACTTACCTTTTACCTTGCAATCCTAATGAAAGGTATATGTTTCTTGATGTCAACTTATTTGCTTTATTTTCTTTGTTTTCATCTCTGGTAACGCTTTCTTCACTATTTTTAACCTGTTCATGCAATTTGGGTTTGTATGATTGTAACTATCTAGTTGTCTTTGGCTTATTTTCTATGAATTTAATTCTTGCCAATATCATTATGATAATGAAATACCTTCCCTGTGTTTTGAGTTTTGTATTGGCAATGTCCTAGTAGGAAGGTGTGCATAGGGTTTTGGAGTAGGAAGTTATACAGCCTAAGATATAGTAAATCATATTGGTATTTTAAGAAGATAGCTCATGCATTGTATTCATTATTCTTTTGAAAAGAAATTGTCTGATTTTACAACAAGAAGGTTATAGTGTCTTGTAGTTATCACTGCATGATGTAATTTATGGGGCTGATTTTCTATTTCAGATTACGAACATTAAGTTTCTATTCTGAAATTTCAGTTGCAGCCATCTTCTTACATTTTATAAATTTATTATGATTCGAATGGCCACCTTCGTTTTGGTTAATCTTTGACTTTTTTGTGAGTTTATCCTTCTCTCGCTAGGATTTTGACCGTCACTCTATATTCTTTCTTTTGAAAATCACCTTTTTTAATGCATATTTATTTTACCAAAATTGTGCGCAGCTATCCTCGGAATGATATAATATATGAATGTTTGAAAACTTCATCTTGATTCATCATTATGCTGAATTTTTTTATTGGAAATTAATCTAGGACGATGATGTGGAGCTTTCTTCACAATTTATTTGTGATAAAGATGATGCATTTTTCAAGCTCTATCATCATTATTCTGAAGTATAAATCAGTAATACAGAAAGAATTCAGCAAGTTTGAAGCATGGTTATTATATTTGAAACTAAGTTGACAAAGGACTTCATTATTTCATTGCTGTTTTTTACTGTAATTTCTTTACAGTTTTACTTTCTGCTTTCTATTGTTTTTGTCCAGCGGTAAAGTTTAATGCCCATTGGATTATGTTTATATCTTAGTTGGCAGCTACAAAAATAATTCTTTTGATGCTTTGGCTAGAATGAGAGTTCCATCTAACTGTATTCATACAGGCCTATGCTGTCCAAAGTTCTTCATTTGTATCATTATGTTTTTACTGAAATATGATTGTAATTCGCATTGCTCAGATTGGTTTGGATGGTATCCGCATGCTTGATCCTAGCACTAACAGGATCTTGAGGATTTACCCATTGGAAAGTGTAACAAGATGGGAGGTAATGAATAATTTCTATTACATAGAAGAATGCAGAAAATACTGCTGGTCAGGCCATGCGCAATGTCATCTTGCATTGTTAAGTGTTATTCTGAGAATTTTGGATTTCATTGTGTAGGTACTTGATTCATCCATATTCTGTTTTTGGTCTAAAAGCTCTGTTGATATCGAACCAAAGCGCATTCGACTGAAATCGAACAGTTATACCACCACTACCATACTTGACACCGTGACTGCTGCATCTGTGCAGGTGAGAAATCAAAATATCTAAGTGGCTATAGTTGATTTGAATTTCCTTGCTTGTAATTTTTTATGAAGTTTGATACGCTTTTTCAGCATTTTTGTCTTGGGAGTTGACTTAATGTTTGAATTTCGTATGCCAGTTTTTCAGGAGATTATATTAATTTTTTTAAAGTTTTATTATATATTTCCTGCTTCCTCTTCTTTTTATTAATTATTTGCTTTTTGTGGAATTCTGATTATATGCTTTAAATATTATTTTCATAAAATTTACCAGGTACTATGTTTATATTGTTTTAAAGTTGCTGGATTTTTAAAGTTTGAGTTGCCTTCACATGATATTTGTTGCGTCATTCTTCTTTTTCATGTGGTCCATAATTAGAATAATTTAATGTTTCAGAAGGAAACGCATTCTGTTTACAATGATGCTGATTTTATGAATTTTTGTGCAAATACCAGCTTAAGGAGATGGGCGGCAGTGATGTTGGTCGAAGCAGAGGAAGTGCTGATGGTGGCAAGCCATCCGAACAGCCAAATGAAAAGAAAAAGGGTTTTACTGATTGGATGAACAGAATTAAACCTGGCAATGAGGAGAAAGACCATTGGGTAAAACGTGCTTTAATCATAATCTGATTTGCCAAATATCGCTTGTAGTCAAATGACATAATTTCTGGTTTCTTTTTTTTTTTTTGGGTCTGGTCTTCTTCTTATAGAGAGGTGAATCATTTACTTTGATTAAATGCAAGAATTTAGCACCATTTTGTTATCTGAATTTTGTCAATCAGAGCTCATTCTGTTGTGTTTTGGTGGACTGCTAGATATTCTTCTATGGTTTTATCTTGCTGGGTATCATAATAGATCTACATGTCTGATTTGGCAAAGCTACAGTTAAGACATTTCTTTACTGGGCTGATGCATGCATATTTTGAACTGCATGTTTATGGATGTTATGGTTTAATTTCTGCTTTCTTTGTTTTTTTTTTTTTTTGTTTTTTGGTTCTGGTTTTCATCACATAGAGAAATGAATCATCTACTTGGGTTAAATTAAAAAATTTAGCACCATTTTGTTGTCCTAATTTTTTCATTTAGAGCACCTTCTGTTGGTTTTTGTGGGGCTGCTAGATATTCTTCCATGAGTTTATCTTGCTCAGTTCATTTAACAAGTGCTTTTGGGTATCAAAATAGATCTGCATGTCTAATTTGGCAAAGCTACAGTTAAGACATTTCGTTACTGTGCTGATGCATGTATATTTTGAACTGCATGTTTATGGTTTTCATGGTGTCATTTCCATTTTGCACATTGTTCTTGGTAAATTTAAAAGATGAGAATTTGTTAGACTATCAAAAGTAGGCTACTGAGAAAAAATAAAATTCATAGTTGAGTTTAACCCGGTAATTGACTAGTTCCTTTAAGAGGATTGTTATAAAAAGTATTGGAGAGCCTTGAAATAGAATGCGCAATAATAAGAAAAATTGATGATGGGTTAAGGAGGTATGAAGTATTATTAAGGAAAGAAAATGCACATTTAAAATTGGCAAAAATTGAATATTCTTGGTATTTATGATAATTATAAGAAAGCTATAAGTCTTGCAAAGAATTTACTGATTAAAACAAAATTATTATTTTTTTGATTTATATATTAGGTTTGGTATTACGGAATTAAAAAAATGACACACACACACACACATATATGCATGCATTCATGTTTGTCAAAGATGAGCTTTGTCTAACTAAGATAAGATATAAGAGATCTAAAAAATTTGTTCACGTTGGATGCATTAAAATGAAGATAATGAAATATTGGTTAAAGATGAAGATATCATTGAAAGGTGAAAAGATCACTTTATATTAGTGAAGTTTATTATAAGATTGATCCAAAAGGTGAAGTGCAGTTGTGTCGAAAAAGGATGCATAAAGATGATATTTTAGGTATATTTGAGATTCCTGTTGAAATTTTGAGTGTTATGTGGGATATTATAGTGATTTGATTAGCAATTATATTTTAGTAGAAATTTAAAATTTAAGAGGATGTCAAATAACTGGAGAAGCATTTAGATACCGATGAAGGTAAAAAAGATGATAGTCTGGAAAAATAATATCAATTTTGGAAAACAAATTTGGTTTCATATCACTGAAGATCTACAATAGAAGCAATTTGTTTTATGAACGTCGATCATGATTAAGCATATGATTTGTGTTTTAAGAGAGCTTATTTAGGTATCAAATGTATATGATGAAATATTGACCAATATTAAAAATAATTGTTGAGTGATCCAAGATTTTGCTATACCTTTTGGTTTGCATTATGGATCAAAATTGAATCTTAATATTTTTCTATGGGTTATGGTGCTGCTTTCAATAAGTAATAAAAGTGAGGTGGCTTGGTGTATACTTTTTAAATAAAACATATAGCCATCTGTCTAATTTGTAACTTATGTATTGAAATTAATGAATAAGTATAAGATTGGTGAAATATTTTAGAGCAGAGGCCAATAAAGTAAAAAATGAACATATAATTTATAAATTAGTGGGCATGACGTTTGCAATTATCATTCAGTATTATTAGAGGTTATGATAATGTGATAGTTTTTAATATCTTGGACCTATTATATGGAAAAATGGAGACTTAAATGTAGATCCAATGTCTTATGTTAAGGTTTGATGGCTAAAAGTTAAATGTGCATTGGTTGTTTCGTGTGATGATATCTTGGAGTCTTAGAAGTTAAAAGGTATAAATTGCAAAAGGCAAAGTTATAAATTGCAATTAGATTATCGATGTTATATGAATCTGAATTAGAAATAATAGAATTAATTGAACAAAAGAATGAACGTATGATATGTAATTTTAGTGGGCATGATGTTAACAATTATCATTCATTAGTAGATAAGGTAATGCACAGACATGATGTTTAAATATCTTGAGTCTATTATGCAGAAGAATATAAGTATAGATGTGACTTTAGCTTTTGGATTTAGGTCTGGATTGTTAAAATAGAAAGAAAGATTGATTTTTTTTGTGTGATAACAGCATATCATTGAGGCTTAAATGTGAATTTTATAAAATTTCAATTAGGCTAACGAATATGTTTTGAACATTGAATTGTAAAAAAATCATTGATATCTCAAGCGAGTGTAGTTGAAATGAGAATGCTCAGATTGATATGGGGTAAACTGGTAAGGATAAATTAAGAAATGATTATATTTGAGGAGATATTGGAGCACGTCTATTAAAGGTGAGGTGCCTGAGAATACGTTTAGGTAGTTTGGACATTGCGTAGCTAGGGGTAAAAAGTGTCCCAGTTATTTGATAAGCTTAGTGTTAGAGTACCAGGAAGAATAATAGGTTGTGTTGTAAGCAGCGTTTAACTTGTTACTCAAAAAATCTTTTGACAGCCTTCACTAATGTTTACCATAAATAGTTGGAATGAGGTTAATGATAGTGATGATTACTTATTTTCTATGGCTTTTGTTAATTAAGTGCAAAGTTTTTGGAATTTCATCAAGAGAGTTAATGAAATTTGGGAATTAGGTTTTTGTTGTGGTAAGTTTTTAACTTGAAGGCATTAATACGTTGGCAATAATGTTGGCTTTTAAACTTTAATTTCTACATCTGCATTAGCATCAAGACATTCAGTTTTACGCACTGACCATTGCTTTATTTTCTCGTTTTAATACAAAATCCTAATCACTCCTGTTGGCAATATGTTTCTTCCTGAAGACGTCAATGTATTTTTGAGTTTCCAATCAGACTTATTTTGTCCATGCTCATAGAGAACTAAGGTGTCTAATAGCCACTTGTGCTTCAGTTTTTTTTCTGTTTAGTCGCCTTCGGAACAATTCTTGATAAGCTGCAGACAGAATGCTCTGTGAAATGATTTAAACTTTTAACTTATGAGAAGTGTTCTTAAGTTTATGGAGCATCAGAAACTGCCATCTGAGGATTGCATTATCGTTGTCTACAAGTGAATATGTTTATTGGGGTGCTTATATATGGGTATATTAGGTGTTGAAATTTATTACTAGTTGATATATTAAACATCGGCCACACTTTTTTTTAAGAATTTCTTAAAATACATATTTGTGCTTTCAGGTTCCAGATGAAGCTGTTTCACAGTGCACATCTTGTGGTGCTGCTTTTGGGCCTTTTGTTCGTAGGGTAATAACTTTCTGAATTTGTTTGCAATCTAATTCATGCTAAAATCCCATAGATTAACACAGTTGTATTTGTATTGCACTTTATTTTTCAGCATCATTGTAGGAATTGTGGTGATATCTTCTGTGACAAATGCAGCCAAGGAAGAGTTGCTCTAACTACAGATGAGAATGCTCAGCTTGTCCGTGTCTGTGATGGATGCATGGTATCTTTCTTTATCTTGTATCAACACTTTGCAATCTACTTATGAAAAGCATTATTGATATTAACAGTAGCTTAAGAAAAAATTTCTTGTCAATTATATCTTCCGCCCTATTAATGAGATCAATCACTGCTGCTACTGTTTGGTACCTTGTGGGATGGACAATTTTTTGTTCTCTCAAAAATGAAATTTTTGTCAAATTCTTAACCTCAGTTAATGCAGCCTAACTGATTGGCTTCAATAAGGTTTGTTGAGTGTTGTCCAAAATGTCGTGGAAGAAATGTTAAAAGTTTTAGAAAGATGATGCTTTTATGATTGTACGTTCTGTTTTTGACAGATTATAATACTATATAATATTAGTTTAGTGGAGGGGCCCTACTTACTAATATTTTCATGCCAATGCCAATGACTAGTTTTCATCCTGTATTTTTTTGATGGTTTTCTCACTCCTAAACTGGTTGGTCCTGTCAACCTATAATTGCTATAAAATAGCAAAGCCCAACAATGATTGTGAATCATGTTATAAAAAAGGTGCCCAACTTGCGTAGCACTCGTCAATAGCTAAATGAAAAGTGATAGAGGATAAGGGAACATTGAAGTGTTAATTCATGCTTCATCGACAATGCAAAAATCACCCGTATAAGTAATCATCACGATCAACTAGGAATTTGAAGAATCCATTTCTAACAATATACAAGTATTAAGTGGGGATATATTAATTTGTTGAACCATAAAAATGAATATTACATGAATAAGGCGTCTTATTTGGAACCCAAAAAGAACCAAAATATTGTAGCTTTTTATAATCCATTAAGAGTTATCCAAATACAATAGGTTTTGCTAATTTTACTCCTGGAAGTCTCAATTTTAGCATTGGCGGATGAAAATCAACAATCTACATAAATAATATAAAAGTCAAGTCTCAAAAGGCAATACTTGGAAAGCTTCCAACACGAGTCTCATGTTATAGGAATCATAACAGGAAATTCCAAAAATTGTTATTCGAGGCTATATCTTGGGAAAACTATGTTTGTAGATGGTAATTAATGAGAAGTCATTGATCTTTATAATCTCAGTGAATCTCTGTGATCAAGTGATGTAAAGCATATTCCAAGGAAAAGCAGAAGGTGAGAAGGGAAACATTTAGTTCTATGAAACAGAACAACAACAATACCATGATTTACATTCCTATTGAATAAAGACTTCCAAATTTGCATCATTTTTCTTCTTTAAGAAATTTGGCTCTAATGAATTAAATATTTTTTAATTGTCATGCAAATTTGGAAAAACTTTTGTGCTCATACAAATGAATCCATGAATTGTTATGGATAAGCATGCCATCCTTTAACACAAAAAAATCTGTGATATCCACCATTGGTTGCGAACAAAAAACTATTGTGTATGGTGATGGATCTGAATTTGTATTGAGATTGAAAAAGTGAGAAGTATATGGCATTGGTAGCAGTTTCATAAATTATGCCAAAATTATATTCATAAAATTGGAATGTTATTAAAGCTTACCAAAATTTTCATATCATCTGTATTATCTCAATGCATTATATGATTTTATATGGTCCAGGACTTGCCATTAATTTCTTAGATGTACTTATAAGAAGCCTTTTGAGATGTAAGCATACAATTTTCTTATCATTTGGTTTAAATTTCCTTCGTCTACTATTCACATCAGTAGCAAATTTATGTAATTGTTATAGGCAGTTGCTAGTTTTCTGTGACCAAATTATATACATTAAAGTCTAAGAGCTTACTTGATTTTTCTTGTCAGAAGTACTCAATGCATTGTATGATTTTATATGGTCTAGTACTTCATTAATTTCTTAAGTGTCCTCTTAGGAAGCCCTTTGAGATTTAAGCGTACAATTACCTTATCATTCTGCTTGAATCTTACTCTCTTCCTATTCATTAGTAGCAAATTTGTATAATTGTTATAATCAATTGTTAGTTTTTGTGAATTTCTTTGTGCATTTCAGATATTTTAATCAAATTACGTGGATGATTTGAAACTAATAATGAAAAATAATAGGGTGTAACTATGCATCACAAGAGATATTAATGTTTCATAACCAATTTCTAGATGATGAATGCTGAATGATAAAAAAATTGAATTCATGCAAACTATACAATCATACATATATGTCATACCTACACGGACATACAAGCTCTTTAAAAAAACCCCAAACAATATTGCTTAAATACAATAGACGATGTTTTATGGGATTTTAGATTCTTCAAAACTTTAAAATTTATGTTTCTTTTATGATTTATGTTATATAAAAAATTCAATGAAATATTAATGCAATCTGTTTTCCTCCTGAATCTCTGGTTATAAATTTGACTCATGAAATTAAGAATTGAGAATAAAATCAATTTCAATTTGATTTGTATAGATATATTCATTAGGAATTTTATAATAAATCAATTTACAATCTATATCATTAGATTTGTCAATTAGTTTATCAATCTCAACTAGAAATTACATTAAAAGCTCGGGTTCACATTTTGAAGTTGCTGTGAGCATATCTAGTTCACGCTCAATTGGATTCATGTTACATTTGCAATTTAGATTTAGATTTTATTGTGGGTTCATTTTAACTTAAAGGTTAGTTTCTAATGGATATGAAGATTTTAAATTGATTTCATGCTCTGATTTAATTTTAAAGTTTGGCTAACATTCTAACTCTTAAACAACTATAAGTTTAAGTCCATGGTCATGTTCTGACATGGGTACACATTTACATTTAGTATAACTAAATACAAACTCATAATATGATTATAAATCTTTTTTTTTATCTAATACACCATCAATAGGGCATTCATGAGCAATAGTTTCTTCGATAGGATTAGATTTGACAATGAATGTATCTTTCATTGTTGTATATTTAACTTGCTTGAGAGATTACTGAGTCTTTTTTAGCTGGGTATTTAACTAGATTTATTTTATTGATTATTTGGTTTTATTTTGCTTGAATTTTTTTTTTTAAATTTAGCTTTGAAAGGTAATTAGAGTTGATATATTAACTAACCTTTCTAGTTGATATCATGATTAAGAAGGTAATGATTTTTCTTTAGGAATGTTAATCATATATGTGGTTGTCCTTGTAAGAGCATCCATATCTCAATATTTAATAATCTAAATAAAGCCTCATTTAGAACTGTTAGTGAATTTTAGCTTTCTCGTCGAAGGTTTTTGTTTAAACAAATAATGACAGTAAATCATTCTTGAAACAAATGATGTTTAGTTACTAGACTTATAAGCTTGTCATAATATCCATACACATTATATTTATCGTGCTTACTATGTTTAGATTGCTTATTCGGTTGATCTCTATACACGTTAACAAAAGCAATCAACATTTATTATATTATGCTGATTTTGTTCTGCCAGTAATACTTCACAAAACTAACTATGAAACTCTAGTTTTGATTTAACACTTTCTAGTTTCTCATCAAATGCGAAATGAATATATTCGTGATATGGTTGGTGTAGCTCCTGTGACAGATAAAATTAGAGAAAGTCCTCTTAGATGGTTTGGTCACATTAAGCATCGACCATCTGATGATCCGATTAGGAGAGCAAATGTTTTGGATTCGACTTATGTTAAGAAAGGCAAAGGTATACCTAGGAAGAATTGGGCTTCATGTATAAAAAATGACCTTAATTTATTAGAAAATAATGAAAATATGACACTAAATAGGACGCAATGGAGAAAAAGGATTTATGTAGTCGACCCCACGTAGTAAGATTAAGGTTTTGTTGTTGTTGTTGTTGTTGTTGTTTTAGTTTCTCATCATTAAGCAAAGGTTATTCTTCAAAGAATTATTCCAAATTGTCAACCCTGCTTGAAATTTTCTCAATATTAATTCTTCAATCGATCACAAGGATGTTCTTTAAATCGTTTTGATTGTTATGTTATCCTCATTCTGGGCAATGTCTTGCCAATTTTGTTGAAGTTGCATCTTTTATTACTTTTTTTAATGAAGGGGTTTATATAAACCACTTTTTGTGGAAATAACGATGCACGTGTTGGTTAAGTTATCAAAACTTGATGTAGAACACTTAAGATTCTAAGGTTCACTAATACAACCTAGGATAAAGATTCTTAATGAAATACATAAAAAAGGATAATTCACCTATTAACAACTGTTAACTTTAGCACAGATTATTTATCTTTAATTCATAAATAGCAAACATATTTTTTTTATTTACCAATCATAATATAATAATCGGTACAGTTCAGAGTCCTTAAAAAAAAAAAAAGAAGAAGACCGGAGAACAAAAATCAGATTTTCTTAGCATCATGGTTCATAACACCAAAATATAAAGAATTGACCTGTAGCCTGTACATGGTGTAGCCTGTACCTGTAGCCTGTACATGGTGGGCTTATTTATTTATTTTCAGGTTTCATTTATTGGCTTTTAATGAAAATCGTGTTTAATCTACAGGCAGAAGTTACTCAAAACTTGAGCATTGCCAAGGAGGCTGGCAACCGTTCCGCTGCAGCTCAGACTCATGAAGATCTTGCTAGGAAGCTGCAGGTTGCTTTTCATTTTGGGTTTGTGATCGTATTTACATTCATTTGAATATATATCTTGTATGCTATTGTTTGTTTCTGCTACAGATGCTCTAATAATAGTTCATTTTAGATTATAATAGTTCACGTAAAATATGTTACAATCATATCCCTATGAAGCATATTGAATTTTATGACATACGTATTAATGACTTGGATCAGTGTACTATGACTATGGGAACCACCATTGGTGCTGATTATTGGACATAATTTAAATGAATGATATAACACACTGATTTGATTATATGCCATTTCAATTTTAATTTTCCTTCATCTATTAACTACACTTACGATATCATTTTCATTCCACATTCCAAGTTCAGTGCTTTACAATATGATCACGAATGCATGCTTAGCTTATAGGTTTATTTTTGTGCGCTGCCGTTTTGCTTTATATGTGGATATAAATATAACGAACTTATATTGTGTTAATGCCAATTTTTTCCAAGTCTTTTGTTGCCACATTCATGCTTTATAGTTTCTCAAGCTATTTTTCTGGTGGCTGTTGTAAATCCATTAATAAACATGATTTGTTACATTTTTTTTTAATATTTGTAAATCTGATAATAAACATGGTCCTTTTACAATATAGTATTTTATTTTTCAGTTTGATTCCTAAAGATTTAGTTCATGTAAGTTATTGAATTTTATATTTGTTAAAATTTGCTCTGTTAAACAGGATGAAATGGAGAGAAATCGCAAGGCATCGTCTGGTAATTTATAATGGATACCTGAGCCTGATTATTTGTTACGCTCAGACATATTAACACTATAATCGCAAGGCATCGTCTGGTAATTTATAATGGATATCTGAGCCTGATTATTTGTTACACTCAGACATATTAACACTCACACTATCAATTTATGTATATTATTATTATTACTATTATGGAAGATTTAAATACAGACCACTCAATTCCTATGTATTTACATATCTAATACCTAAAACTTCAATTTTTGCATATATGCCACTTCATGCATGAAAGGTGTATTTCACATTTTAAAAGTTATGATAGTGATGTTTTTGATGACATATAAAAGATTTGGATGGTATAAATGTAAAAGGTAAAGTCATGGTGTTAGATATGTAAATACCTAGGGGTTAGGTGGTATGTATGTGAATGCCCCTATTATTATTATTATTATTTTGCTCTCATAGGTTCTAAATCTTCTGATTCCTCTGGAAAGAAGATGAGGGAAGTGGCATGTCCTATCTGTACTGTCCATTTACAGGTACTCATTTTATCCATCTTTTAACAGTAAAAAAAGGATGTACTTTGAGATCAACACAATACAGAGATAATTAGAGTATTACACAACCGAGCGAAATTGGTTAAATTTTGCTGGGATTGTTGATTTGCAGGTGCAGGTTCCTACTTCTGGTTCTGAAACAATAGAATGTGGTGTTTGCCAAAATCCATTTCTTGTTAGTGCACATTGATCTCTGTGTGGGGTCCGGCCGGTTCCATTGTGGCTGCTGCTTTAGATTCGTCACTTCCAGTCAATGTAATTGTCGTCGGTTTCTACGCTACCATCCACACCTGTTGATGGCTTCCTGTTTCATATTTGTATCTACTTTGCTTTTACATTGAATTTATATTATCTGAGTAAATGTTTATTGCTGTTTTACTACTAAACCCTATTATTCTGTCTTATGAGATTTTCCCCGTCAAATACAAAAAAATAAAAAATAAAAAAAAAATTGTTTTCGGTGCAAGTTATTAAGAAATTTTGCCATATCGTGCTTTTGGATTTTGATTTTGATGAACCGTCGCCGCTACTTAAATTTCAGTTTTAATTAATAAAGGTAATGTTTGAAGATAAAAAGACGAGATTGTCCCAAGTATCGCCATTTTGGTAGTAGAATTTGTAGCAACGCTTTTCGCAAACTATTATATGATTCAAGGCAGCAAAATGCTATTAAATGAAGTCAATAAATTGATTAAATGTTGGTGTGCAAATGAATCCTTGGTCAAAAGCAGTTGTAATATTTTTTAAAATATAATTCTGAAAAGATTTATATATATCTATGTTTGCCCTTTTATAATCGTCGGGAGATTGGATTTATTCTCATCTTCGAGTTATGACAATATGCATGCCTACATTCTATACATGAAAGTAAATACCTGGTCTTTTAAGATAATATTAAAAATTCAGATGTTATTCATGTATCTAAAAAATATAAATGAAAGATATATAGATATAAAAGAATTGTGTTTTATGTATTTAAATGCCCTGTTTTTTTTTTTTTTTATTCTTATTTTCACAAATATTGAAAAGCGTAAATGAACGTTGATGACGAATAACAATTATTATGGACTTTTCTAAAACATGTAATATAAGAACTTGTCACTAGCAACTAATTATATACACTTGAAAGTTGAAAACTTATAAAATTCTTTATTTCTTGCTTAAAATCCTCGATTATGTTTCTAGAGCAATCTAGAAGCATGATTTTCTATGAGATGTGATGACCATAATGAAAAATCACCATAAATTCTTCAAAATGAACATTAAATGGATAAGCATTTAAACGACAGTTGACGACGTATTAGTACTATCGTTTCATCATTTAGCACCACAGTTTCTTAAGTTACAATTCTACCCAAAATTGTCATTAAAACACTATGAATTCTACAAGAAGCAATCTAATGCAAATCTTAACCATGCAAGCTAAATATTTACTTCATCCAAGAATCTGATGCTTATATCCTCAAAGCTCCAGCTGCTGATTCCATAACGGTAGAACCAACAGATTTGTGTTTCCTCATAAGGTTGAACTTAATGGCACGAAGATCCTGTGGTCATTAATTGATGACGGCTGTTCGCGAACGTCAACATTAGACATGTATATTACATCAGTCCCTGCATTTCAAAAATTAGACATAATAAGCTAAATAATTCATAGTAGTGGAAATCATTCTGACAATATGCACATTATATATGAAAACTTGTCAAGGACAACATTTCATGCAAACAATTAGTTATATTTAGCATACTAGGACGTTTGGATGGGCAAGAAATTTTGGAAAAATACATGTATGTGTGTGTGTGTGTGTCTATATATATATACATATATAAAAGCATATTCCAGTTAAAACTTTAATCAAAATGAATCTTAAAACTACTAAATTTACTTTAAAATGAGCAATACTATGAATACAAACAACAACAACAAAACCTTTATCCCACTAAGTGGGGTCGGCTACATGAATTATTTTTCTCCATTGAGTCCTATTTAGTGCCATATTTACATTTAAATCTAATAAATTAAGATCATTTTTTATACAATATGCCCAATTCTTCTGAGGTCTACCTCTGTCTCTCTTAACATAAGTCGAACATCTACTCTTCTAATCGGATCATCAGATGGTTGATGTTTAACGTGACCAAACCATCTAAGACGTCTCTCTCCATTTTTTTCCGTCATTGGAGCAGCACCAACCCTATCACAGATATATTCATTTCGCATTTTGTCTCCAAGTGTAAAGCTACACATCCACCTAATCATTCTCATCTCGGCAACACTTAACTTAGTTTTATGCTTCTCTTTTAAATGCCAACATACTATGAATGATTAATTAAAATATATATTGAACTAATCTCATAGTGAATTCATTGGATTTGAAACCCTTTCGGATCAAATCATTTGCAGTTAAAACTCGCTAGATCCCATCGTGACTGAGCGGCTACAACGATAAAATGGATAGATAGCGAGGAAGGGATGTAGGGAGGGAAACAGAGAGAGAAAAAGGCTGGGGAGTGAGGTGAGAAGACGGAGATGGAGCTGACGGAGTGGTTCATCATTGCCCCAGGCTTCATTAGTAGGCAGAGAGTACCCAGTAGAGAGTGAAAAGGTAAGTGTCTTGAGTCTTGGACTAAACAAATGGAGAGAGGTTCAAGAAAAAATCAGGTGAATTGGTTGATAGAGGAAGACAATTTGATGAAATATTCAGGTGTGTTAATTTTTATTGAGTAAGATGATCATGTTGGAAGGGCTAAAATATCAAACAATACAACTAAAAAAATAGAAACATGTGCCATAATAAGTAACTAAGGTCTCGTTTGATTAAGCTTCTCCTTTTATAAAAGTTTGTTTAGAAGTAACTTCTTAAAAAAGAGTGTTTTCAGATCATGCTTTTAAAAGTTGATAATACTGTTTGGAAAACTTACTATTTTGGTGTTTTTTTAAACAGAAAAATTCTTAATTATCTGTTTGATTAAGCTAATATTAGTAGTTTTTTTTCATAAAAATACTAAAATACCCTAATCGAGCCAACAAGTTGAATATTAAATCAGTTTTTTGAAAAAAAAAAGCAAAAAAATTTAAAATCAATAAAAGATTGCATCAATTATTAGTTTAAAACAAAGTCAACAAGCCTAATATTAAACCAAGCTCAACTCAGATCTAATTTGAATGAACCCAAAGCAAAGTCTTGACAACTAATAAAATGAAAATAAATTTTCATTAAAACATTATATCTACAGAAGAAAGATAGTAACGATGATGACAGCAATCTGATGTCCTCAAGCAAGGTTACCAACTCTGGGAATGAGGGGCATGGAACCCTCAAAGGGGGTTCAGGAAGGTGTAGCATTTGCTGCTGATGTAGTCGATGTCAATCCATTGGATTTTTCAGCTTCAGGAGACAACGAAGAGCTAGAACTAAGGTTGGAGTTGGAGCAGCTTCCTGGTGATTTTGTTAACCAGGTAAGGGAATATATATGCACTATTTTTCAAATTTTGGGGTGGGTAGGAATAAAATTTGAATCAGGGGGTTATGTATAATTTCATTCTCATTTGTTGCCGGAAAAGGCCAATGCAGGAAGCTCACAGTGTGTTGTTAGGAAAATCAAATGGCAACAGCTTAGGTTTTAGTCATGATTTGGGTGCGATCTCCCCAGGTTTTAGTCATGAGGTTGCTGGGACCTCCTCTTCATCACTAGTTGTTCATGGGACAGGTGGAGAATTTTCAGAGAAAGAGAATGGAAGCAGCCATCTAATGGAGAAAGGAGACGTGGAGAGGAACATCTAGCTGATAGAGTTCAAGCGCTAGGGATGAATCTGGAAACATAGAAAGATACTTGTCCTGAAAAAATTGGATGGCTGAAACTGAATCAGATTCAAGAACTCTATGCAGTGAGGCATTTCGTTCTGTCAGGACTAGAGAGAACGAAGTTACTGTGTTCACCACACTCCAAGAGCTGACGCCAAAGCTTAAAAGGAAATTGAAATAACAATGAAACAGCTTCCCGATGAAGTTTAGTAAGCAAAGAGGTAGTAACAGAAGGTGAAAGAATGACAAGATTATCAGCCTTCGAGAGAAGCACAAACCTTCAATTTGCTCATCGGAGTTTGCAAGAATGAAGGTAGAATCCTTCGTGTGGAGTGAGGACGTCCAAATGCTTGAGCTACCAGATGCCGGTAAGGGCCGCAGCTACTTTATTTTAGGAGGGAGATAACAGCAAACCAAATCAAAGAGGAGGTAAAGAAAAGTGGGCATCGTGCGGTAGGATTGGGGCAAATTCGATTCACTTTGCAAACAGTGGACTGTGCTCGAGAACAGCACAAGCAAATCACAATCGGAAAAAGAAAAAAAATGATGTTGTGTTAAAAACAATTAAGCATTAGTGTCCCAAGAAAGTTAATAAAATTAATAAAAAGAGTTCCGTAAAACTCAAAGCACTCTTGCCAATGTCTCAAATGAAGCCCAACGGATCACTGATTACAAGTAGATTTAAAAAAAATATGAAACTTGTTAGATTCCATAATTTACTTGCATGTGAAAACAAATAAACATCAATTTTAAACTTTACAAACCTCTAACAAGCAAAGGAAAACTACTATACGACTGAAAAGCGTTTCCAAATTCGATGATGAAAATAATTTATAATTGCATCACATGGATCAAAGTATGAAGTGTGAAAAGAATACCAACGATGAAAGAGCTTTTGTGGAAAGGTTTCAAAATATTAGGAATGTCTTTGGCTACAACTGATGAACTTTTACTTGTTATAGAAATTTGTAGAAATTTGGTCAAGATTTAAATAAAAACATGCAAAGTACTGATATACCACCAGAAATAAATGCATGTACTGATATACTACCAAGCATTATAATTAGCTCTTACTAATACAGCACTCTAACACCCTTTAGCTATATGGATGCAAGTCAATAGGGAGTGGAAATAATTAGAAAGATTAAAAATATTATCATTAAGATTAATGCGTGCTTCTTAGCTTCTTCTCCCAGGTTAGAGTTCTTCTCCGAAGAAAAAATGTGAGACACGAGGATTGTGCCTCCTCTTGATCTTTCTTAAAACCTTTAGATTTGCCGACAGAACAACTATCCGTTCTGATCTCTCTTTAAACACTCATGATCTTCGAGAACACGCTTACACTCAAATCTCTGTCTTAAGCCATAACAAACTAAAATCACATTGGCTACACTTGTTCCCTCCTAAGGTCGCCCTTTCTTCCTTAAAATTATAGGTAAAGGGGGGAAGAGAAAAAGATCAACGATTACTATATGCTTGGTCATTCATATAAGGCTTGTTATGTCTATTTATTTATATATGTGAAGAAACTTAAGCAAAATTTTAAAGTTCAACATATAAATGTTGGAGCTCTAGCCTACCTGATTCTTGCACATGCTTGTTTGTTGTTTAACAAAAATCCCATAAAGAGCTTGATAGAATGCACATTTAATGATAATTTAATTTTTTTTATAAGTTATTTTATGCTATTATATTAAGAAATAACTAAATATATTAAACATTTCATTTCTTTGTATAAATCGTTACCATTCAACATATAGTAAATTAATCTGGTTAATGAAAGCTCAATGACAGCTTAACTTAAAAAAATAATAATAAATAAGCACGAACTTAAAAAAATAATAATAAAATAAGCACGAAAACAACTTATAATCCATGTCATATAGGAAAATAAGTGAATGATCTTGAACAGCGTAAACTTTCTATATGATCATTTTTCCTGCCCATGTTCCCTAGAAATAGAGAAGACTAGGCGTAGTTTTACAAAATTACCTCCAAGGCTATGATTTGCAAAGCACGCTTAAAGCATTTTTAGATTTAAAATGACTAGCTTTAAATCTCACAATAATATCCCCATATTTCTATTCTTTTGTATAGTGTTCTTGCCCTTTCTATAATAGACGAGAATACTAACATACTTTATTGAAATATAAAATTGGGGAAAACAATGTAAAATATAGTGATCCTAGCTCAAGTCAAAGAAGGATACGTGGTTACAAATATGACAAAGCTTGGAATAGTCTTATTAATAAAAAGGATGGTCTGATCCTGTTCCACTACCTTGGACAAGTAGAATTAGCTTCTACAAACAACTAGAATGAATGATGGTAACGAAAAAAGATTGAAAGCATGCATACAGAAATACTTGAGCTGATACATTTATGCTTGAACTTTCCATGCCCAATAAAGTTACCTAAAAGCTGAGCCAATCATAGGCCAATCAGGTGATCTATTTTAGAAGAAGCGTTTTAGAAATAAATAAAAGAACCTATAGTGTGTATTTGATGAAAAATTAAATTAGTTTAGACTGAAATTAAATATTTTCAGACAGCATACTCAAAGAACTTGCTTTCTGCTACCAGCAACAGTGTAAATCATTTCAAACAAGAATTCAATTGGCGAATTTGTGAAAAAACTAGCCTGCAAGTTTAAGTTCTTTTAATTCTCACTTGCAAGCTGCCAACAAAGATCGCACATTTCATATATGATGAACATATATGCAAATCATGTTGAACTCTTATTAAAGCAAAACATTAATGCTGTAAGAAAACATTATAAAGTTTATATTTATTAATCTGCCACATAGCTATTTTTATAAATCAGTAGACAAAGCATGCTAAGGCAAAAGGGTTGATCATCAAGAAAAAAAGGCGGTCCAGAATATAAATCTGCAATGAGTTATATCAATTATGACTAAAAATAGGAAAGAGCAAACTAAATTTTCCTTTCTGTTAAAATAATAAAGCTATGGATACAAAGCCGTGATAAGAAACCAACATATACTATCCTTCCTTCCAAAAAGGTTCAAGCCTGGTTCATCAAAATATTTGCAGATGGCTGTCATTACTATACGTTTTTTTTTCTTCTAGTAAATTCAATTGAATAAAAAAATAAATAAATGTGTGAAATCATTGTCAAGTTCGTTGGAGTTAAAAACAAGGTGAAATATAGGCATAGATTAGAAATAAATGTATTACTTTTTCTAAAACTTACAATCAGAAAAATTTATTTTTGTTATGCATAATTACAAAGTAAAAAAAATACAAATAAAGGAAAGCAAGTAGTTCCATACAAGCATAGATGTCAATTAGCTTTTCACTCTTTATGTACCTAAAAGGTAATCTTCTTAGTATCATGGCATGTTCCGATGATGAAGTTATAACAAGAAAAACTTCAATGTGAAGTATAAAGACATCATATTCATGCAAGATGCACATAAAGATATAGTTAACTACATATTTACTCGACTCTATCATGTATTATCCCAGAAATAATCACTCGAGTCTCATCTGTACTTCTGTTTTAATTCAAGAAACCAGTATATTTTCTTTCTTTTCAACAATCATCTATAGATTTAAGCTAAAAGATAATGAATCTGATATGTAGTAGTATTAAAAAAACCATTGAGCTTCATAGAAGAGTAAGTGGAAGAAATATGTAAAATAGAGGAAAATAAGATTATAATAAAAAAACTTTAGTACCAGTATTTGATCATGCCATCCCAACCACAAGTTGCAACCTTGCTCTGCTCCAAAGGATGCCACTCACACCCAATGCATACACCTTCATGGCATTTTAAGGTTCTAAAGACCTTGCAACTCTTCCAATCCCAAAACCAGCACTTCCCTTCCCCATCTCCTGACGTGACAAACCGTCCATCCGGGGAGAAATTGACCTGACAAGCATAACCTGCCACAATGTGCCCTGCAAATCTCTTCTTCTTATTTAGTTGAAATCTCTCCTTTGTACTATAGATAAGTATCTGGTTATCCAAGCTTTGTGCTGCCAGCCAATTGCCATTAGGATGAAGTGAAATAGATGGCATTGAGTGCATGTGCGGCTCACTGATGTACTTAATAACGACTGGTATGCCAAACTCCCAAACCCGAAGAGATTTGTCATCACTAGAAGTCACAAACCTCCTATTGTTATCCACAAAAGTGATGGTATTCACAGCGCCTAGATGCTGATCATACTCTTGCGTGATCTTCCCAGAATCCATATCCCACTGGACAATCTTCTTATCACTCATCCCCGCAAGGAGAATGTGTTGCTTGTCTTGATCTGGGTTGAGCTTTACGACATAAGGGACTTTCCCAGTGGAGAAAGTCGAGATCACCTTACCAGTTTCAGTATCCCATAACTTAATATTCTTGTCATACCCTGCGCTCAAGAACTTCGCACCATCGTTGGAGAATGATATATCTCTGACAGCTTTGGAGTGTCCCATATAGGTTCTCATACATTTCCCCGAATTAAACACATCCCAGATCTTGATCTTGGAGTCCATGCCAGCAGAGAGGAGGAGGTGGCCGTGCTTAGGGAAGAATCGAATTGCAGCAACCCCCTTGGTGTGCCCACTCCAAGTATGCACCCATCGCTTCGGAATGTAACAATGATCATTAGAGGGCTTGGCATCCTTGGGAGGAGTGACCCAAGATCTTCCCTGGTAGTCCTTCTCTTCCTTACCATGAAAAGTGCTCTTGTCGACATGATCAGTCTTATCACCTCTGCCCTCGCCACCTCTTCCTTTCTCGGCCTTCTTCTCAGCATACTCTTCAGCGTATTTCTTCTGCTCTTCCGTAAGCTCCTCCTGGACGACCTCCTTCTTCCCGGCCCAAGGACTTTTCCGGTTCTTGAGGAGCCACTCATCGGACGCCGGGTTTTCCACCTCCGGATTGGAGTTCTCGGGTCCAGCAGCCGAACCATCGGCTTCATTATCCTTTAGGTCACGCCGGCGGCGCTTCTGCTCCTGTTGGGGCACATTGTAAACCGAGAGAGCTGCATTCTGTTCCAGGGTTTCGAGATCGCCGACGTAGGAGAGTCCAGACGGATCGGCTGCGTAGCCGTATTTGTGGAACGTGTTGTACTGTTCGTCGAAGAGGAAGGAATGGATTGAGGCGTCCTCGACGAAGCCGAGCTTGTGATTTCGCATGCCCTGAGCGACGCCATCCTTGGCGTAGGGATGTGCAGGGCCATAAATCGGGGCCCAAAGCTGGTCGTAGGTAGGGTTGAAACTCACAGCGTGCTGCGATGGATCAAGAGGGCGGTGGAGGATTCGATCAGATACCGCGGTTGTCAGGGCGAGCGAAGTCTCGTCGACGCGCGGAGCCGAGGACTTTGCCGGAAGGGACATGTGAGGATACGAATCCGAAGAAGAATCCGGCGAGGAAGGCGAGGCGCTGGGGTCTTCGGTTTTGTCTGAATAACTTCGAAGTAGATCCATGGAGGAGTTCGGAAGAGTGTTCGAGGTGAAAGCAAGGGAATAAAGGGCTGTTTCGGATATAATAAACAGGATTTAGAGAAGCAAAAGCGCCATGATTGCCTTTCTCAATGGTTTCTGTTAGGAGCGGGTTGAAATCGGTAGAAGGGTAGGGACGCCGGCGAGGGTTTTGGGTAGGAGGAAAAAGGAAAGGGGAAAATGGTTTCTCGATTTTTTAATTTAATTGATTTAAAATTAATATATTATCAAATTAATTATAAATATGTAATTATTTAATTATTAATTAATAACAAAATAAATTACACATTAATCTTAATCATTTTAACAACATTAATGATTATTAATTACTTTAATAGATAACTAATTTACAAAATAATTAATGAATATTAAATTATTGTTTTGTATAATTAGTTTAATAAATTTATTAAATTGATTAATTAGTTGGATAAATTTTTTAATTATTATAAGTCTAAATAAAAAATAAATTAAATTAAAATATAATTGATAATATTAAGTTATTAACTCTTGAAGGTATTTAAAAATCATATGGTAGCAACATCAAAAATGTGCCAATGCGAATTGCAAAGATACCTCCCGGATGACAGAGGAGGTGATGTGGCCCATAGGGCCCACCAAGGATGATCAGGACCTCGTGCTCAGCTGACTCGTCCCACATATTGGGGAGACGATGAGTCTCGAACAAATAAAGAGAAGATCACCCTTGAAAAATTCATTGATCAAACCCCACTGGAATGAGTGACGTTTTCCAACCCAGATAGATCGATAAATAGAAGTGGATCCTCGAATTTTAGAATGGTCAATGTGAACCCTCAACAAGTTGTCGTCATCCTTGCAACTGCCCTGCCTAATGAACCGCCTAGCCTCATAGTCACCCGACCTAACTGTAGCCCGACCTCTTGGTTGCTCGACTTTATGGCGAAACGGGGCCACGACCACCCGACTTAATCTCTGACTGGTCTGACGGTCGCCTGACCTAATCTATGAGAGCCACATGTCATTTTTTTGTATGGACTATAAGTACATACTTTAGGCGTACAATATGTAATAATATGATAACTTGTTCCTAGAAATAGGAGGTCTACATCATGAATAAAAGTAACACAAATTTACTATTTATTATTGTGCTATTACTCTCCTTTCTCTCTACAGATTTGGATTCAACGCAACTAAATTAAAAAATAGATACGACTTAAGAGTTTTATTTCCTTATACCTCGCACAAAATCAATTTTTTGCTTTTCAAACAGAATTATTATGAATAAAATACAATTGATGAAAAAAATTAACATAATAAGTTTATAGATGACATTTAAATTTAAAAAATATCTTCTATTTTTAAATTAAAATATACCTTTACCTTTACCATGTTAATATAAGACATTTTATTTATCAAGCCCATTCTAATACAAATTTTACATTAAAGCCCAAATATAATATTATTGAGGCTTTAGAGATTGCACAAGCCTATCCAGGGCAATTTTGTCATTTTTTTCTTACATCTTTAACAATTGATGTTAATAATAAGTTATTGCATGCTAACATGTAAATAAAAATGTTTTGAGCAGTATATATGTAAATCCACATAATTTTTTTTAAATAAGTTTTAAAAAAAATTACAAAACAAACCTTCCTTTTCAACTGCACTACATTTCCATTTTGAAAAACAGCTTCATAATTTGCTAATATGCACATCATTCACCCACTATTTTCTCTCCATCTTTTCAAGGTATCATCCGAGTATCAAAATTCAGAATAAAAGTTCAACTCATCCTTCTTTGCTTTTGCCAAATTTGCAAATGTTTAATTATGATGACACATCTAAATACGCAAATTGGTTAATTTTATAAATAGCAAAATGTTATCAGTACAAGAATTAGAATCAATTAATTTACTCCAAAATAGGCTAAAAACAATCTTTGTATCTTTTCTATTACTCAGATCTTGCACTTGTCTTAAAGCAAATACACAGCTTTCATATGCTTCCAAACTCGATCTTGATTAAGGCTGTGAATTTAGCTTGAAGATCGTTAATCGCTCGAAAATCTATTTGAATTTTAGCTTGGTTTGAGATCAAATTGAAATAAACAAACCAAGCAATGAGCTGAAACTTTTGATCCAATTTTTTCGAGCTGATTTCAAGTCAAATATGGATCCACTAGAACTCACTCGAAATCGGCATGTAGTATTTTTTATTTATAAAAATTATATATATATAATGCTAAGTAAAATTGAATATAATGAGTTTTGAGCAAATGAGCCAATTTAGAGTTGGAACGGATCCAAATAATTAAATGTGAACCGGATCAAGCCGATTCCAATCTAAAACTGATCCAAATAACTCAATTTGAGCCAGCTCATTTCAAATTCGAGCCGGCTTTACTCGAAATCGAATATAACGAGACATGCCGAATTTGAGCTGCACTAAATATATTTAAGCTAGTTTCGTGCCGACCCCAATTTGGCTAAAAATCAGGTCATTAACAACCCTAATCTTGATAGGAATATCCTGATCAAATCATGGTTTCAAGTTCTCAAAGACTAAAACAACAAAACCTGAACTTAAATCATGGTTTCATGTTCCAAAATTTGAAGCAAAATACATTATAAGATTAGAGCCATCTTGCCCAAGCTTTACCAAAATCTGTAGCTTTGTCCAACACAGCTTCTTCTGTACATGACTTACATAAGTAGAAAGCAACAAATATAAATATGAGATTCTTCTTTGCAAAGCAGACAGATGAGCAGAAAAACAGACCCACTAAACTCTGCCATCTTCAAAAGCAAACTATTCCTCTAAAAGAGGTCGGGTTCAGCCTTCCATTGCAGCATAAGCCCCTGAAAAAAAAAAATAAAATCATTGCAAAATGTTAGAGCTCAAAATGCAAAAATGAAAATAGAATAGTCTACCAGGCAGATTGAAATAAAAGTTTGAGATGAATTTGATAAGTATGACACATTCGTTGGTGTTTAATTATTTCACGTTCATGTGAAACAACGTCGGGGTTAGAGACGCCGATATGTGATCCATATTATCAAAGCAACTAAAATAGGAAGACGTTTGATATATAAAACACACCAAGAATTTAATGCAGTCACCTAATTGATGGCTATATTCTGTAGCTGTTGCTTTATATTTTGCTATGATAATGACTGGACTTTTACAGTCGTAAACTTGCAAATATTGGATATGTGGCTAAGTTTGCATAAGAACATTCCTTCGTCGGGTATAAATCAGACTCCATAATATATATTAAAGAGGTTGGAGTTACATCTATTGAAGATGAATTGATATGAATTCGACAATGCATTAAAATGAAGTAGAAAAGAGCCCAATAGGCGAGTTGTAAAACCAATGTTAGACGATGAGAAGAAAAAGGGCTATACCTGATGTTACATTAATATAAGTTATACAAAATGATTTGCAAAAAATACATTTAAGATCTCACACACCACTCAATAAGAATGAATAAAAAATGAAAATTCATAATATTGAACCTAGTTTAACAAAGGCTAAAGATGATGATGATCATTCATCCACTGCAGCACTTTGATTAAAGACATGGTGATGACTCGTAAACATAATAGTTAATACCAACTTTTATCAGAAATCACACACCTTGGATCTTCTATAAGAAAATGTTAGTTTTCAAGATGAAGAACAGAAATTGCCATGAAAACCACAATTGATGCAACATTAAGCTAAAATGTCAAGCAAAGACATGGTCATGAAGATCACTTTTATAATCTAACTTATATGAAAAAGATCGATATCAAGCATATGGACTAAATACAGGTTGAGCAACATTAAGCTAAAATGTCAAGCAAAGACATGGTGATGAAGATCACTTTTATAATCTAACTTACATGAAAAAGATCGATATCAACCATATGGACCAAATACAGGGGGACCTTCAAAACCTAGTTTACATGGTTTGCGAATAAATTCAACAATCAACATTATGATTAAGATAAACAAACAATACAAGATAATGTTCATACCTCCATTGTTTGAACAAAATATGTGCTTAAATTGTTTCTACCTTATATACAAGTTCAGGAAATCCACTCCTGTCCTTAGGCTTTAAATTGTCTCTATATGAGCAAGATTCATGTAAAATTAACTTATTCATGAAGTAATTAAATCGATTATGATTGTGTTAGGGTATTTTTGAAGATTGATTCGATGAACTTGTCCTTAGGGTAGATCTAGTGATCTTCTACATCCTTGACAACCTTTGGTGAAGCATTGAATCTCTAATGATTATGTTAGACCTACGCCTACAGGTAATTTAATCTTTTGTTATTTAATATTGTGGGCTATAAACACTTTAGGGCTAATTTTTCTAATTTCGTGTCCCATTTTCTCGAATCGTGTTAAGCTCACATTCGATGCGGTGTTGAGGTGTGTACCGGACGTGCTCAAGCCTGAAAAAAATTCAGAAGTATATTTTGTAGTGTCGGAAAAGTTTCAGGGTGTGTTGGACAAGTGTTGTTGTCCGATACATGTTCGACATGAGTACGGCACATTTTTAGAAGTGTTGGTACTACATAGCTATAAAGTCATTCTCTTACAAAATCTTACGAATCCTTCCCCTCCAACAACAACAATATTACAACACCGATTGAACCTATTCCAAAACTACAAATAATACCTCCTAAATCTAAGAATGATAATCAAGCTTTTTATATTACTCCTAAAATGGTAATCACTAATGGCGAACATATTTGGAATAACCGTTTGTAGAAGTTTAGATTCATTCAATGCAAGTGAAGACTACTTCAAAACCTTCTTTGATCACGACTGATTCAAACAAAATAATTCATGTCTCCATTACAGAAATTGCAACTCTGCAGAAAAGAGTTCTTAGAGAAGCACTATAGATGATGCAACACAAACATTAAATATCAAGCAAAGGCATGGTTATGAACATCAAATTGATAAAGCTCAATTACATAAAGAAGTTCACGATCAAACATGTGAGCTCAATTAAGAGTTAGACCTCCAAATCCTATTACATGGTTGACCTCCACTTTCAAAAATCAACAATGTAATGATCAAGATCAAGCAAGACAAACTTCAATCAAGAGAAGATAGCTCATGGTCAATCCCTCCCATGTTTGAACTCAACATGTGTTTAATTGGTCAGCACAACATTTTCCATACAAGTCCTGAATGTCCACTCCGAATTTTCACTATATAAGCACGTATCATGTAAAACTAAGCCATTAATGAAGCAATAAAATTATTCATTCTTTCGTTTGAGTGCTTTGAAGATTGCTTTGGTGACTTTCTCCTTTAAGTAAATTTGATGTCTCCACCCTAGAAGTTTTCGGGTGAGATCGAACCTTGATGATTATTTTATAGTTCTTTGGTTTCACCCCTCTCCTTGCAACTCTTTGGTTGACTATATAATAGCCACCTAACAACTCCGTATAATGATCACATCAGAATATACAAAAATCCATAAAAACCCACCATCCTTAAGTCATCACCGATTAAATGTAGTTTAGTTAGACTTCAAGAACATAAGATTAATAATTAACAAGAGTTTGTTGTTTGTTTATGCTTCAACAACAATAACAACAAGCCTTTATCCTACTAAGAGGTCGGATACATGAATCCTTTTTCTCTATTGTGTCCTATTGGGTGTCAAAGTTTCATTTAATTATAATAAATTAAGATCATTTTTATACAATATGCTCAAGTCTTTCTAGGTCTACCTCTACGTTTTTTAGCATAAGTCGAATCTAAAACATCTACTCTCCTAACGGATCATCAGATTGTCGACGTTTAATGCGACCAAACCATCTAAGATGACTCTATCTAATTTTGTCCGCCACTAGAGCTACACCAACCATATCATGGATTTATTCATTTCGCATTTTTTCTCTAAGTGTCAAGCCACTCATCTACCTATGCATTCTCATATCGGCAACACTTAACTTTATTTTATGCTTCTCTTTTAAAGGCCAACATTCTATGTCATAGAGCATTGCAGGTCTCACCACCATCTTATAGAATTTTCCTTTCAGTTTAAGAGGTACTTTTCTATCACACAATAGGCCCAATGCATTCCTCCACTTCAACCAACTAACTTGAATTCTACTAATAACATTCCCATCTATATCACCATCACTTTGAACAATAGACCAGCGATATCTAAATCATTCACACCTTTTAATAATTTCATCACCCATAGTTGCAACTCCACTACTAGAGCTACTACGACTAAAATTACATTTCATTTATTCAGTTTCAGTTCTACTCAAACGACGACCTTTTGACTCCAATGTAGACATCCATAGTTCAAGTTTTTCCTGAACTATTTCTCTAGTCTTATCCATAAGAAAGATATCATCAATAAAAAGCATACACCTAGGTACATCCTCCTGTAAATGTCCAGTAATAGGATCTATAACAAAAGCAAAGAAAATAAGGGCTTGAAGTTGGTCCTTAATTTAATCCAACTGAAATAGGAAAATGTATGGTCAATCCTCATTTTGTTGAACAGAAGCAACAACTCTAGCATACATATCTTTAAGGATTTGAATATAAGTCATATCAACACCTTTCTTCTCTAGAACTCTCCAAAGGATTTCTTCCAAAGGATTGAACTCTCCAAAGGATTTCTCTTGGAACCTTATCGTAAGCTATTTCTAAATCAATAAACATCATATGTAAATGCTTCTTACTCTCTTCGCACTTCTCCTTCAAACCTCTTAATAAATGTATAGCTTAGTAAACCTGCTCGACATAAATCCAAACTAATTAAGAGAAATCTTTGCAACACTTCTTAACCTAGGTTCAATTCCCCTCTCCCATACTTTTAAAGTATGACACATCAGTTTAATTCCTCTATAATTTTCACATTCTAATGCATCACCTTTATTCTTAAAAATGGGGACCTCCACTTTTAAGAAGAGTTTAGTAAGTTAAGAAACTCCAAAATCTCTTAAATATTTCAACACTTCAATTGTAATATCATTAGGTCCTGTTGATTTCCACTCTTGACTTTCTTTAAAACCTCCTCAACTTTTTTTTTTTATTAATGTGACAGCAAAAATAAAATATTTCACCATTATTAACGATATTAAGATCATTAAAGTCGATCGTATTTTAAGAAACTTCATTGAAAAGTTGATCAAAATAGCTCAACTACCTGTGTTGAATATTTTTTTTTAAGAAAAATATTTTTTTTATTTTTAGCTTGAATACACTTTAATCGAGTTAAATCTTTACTTTTCTTTTATCTTTATTTGGCTAGTTTATACATATATTTTCCACCATTTTTAGTATCTAATTTATTATAAAGAACACTAAAGCAAATTTTTTAACGTCACAAATTATTCTGTTAAATTTTCTACAGGTCATTTTAAATTTTTTCAATTCTCAAAGTTTTTACATTTAAACCAATTTTTATAACATAATTCTTAAATTTTATCTTTTCTTACACATTATTTTTCCACCACCAATTTTATCTTTTTTTATTTATAGAAACTTTTCTTTTTGACTTTTCAAATATTACTTTTGTCACTTGTTTAATAGTGTTTGTTACTTTATCCCAAATAGAATTTGCTTCTTCATGAACATCGCAAATCTTGAAATCTTGAAGTTTACTTATAAGAATAATTTTATTTGTGTGTTTTAGGTGCCTCCATCTAAATCTATAACAATGATTCCAAGCACTTTTTATTTTACAACTCAGCGCCTTAAAATCCATAACGAATAATCGATTTTAAGTATTTAAATCCCAGCTTGTAATGACCTTACAATCTTTATATTCTCGACGATCCCTTCTTCTCATAAGAAAATAATCAATTTGTGTTTTATTAGATCCAATTATAAGTAATATTATGTCGATCTCTTTTCTTAAATAAAGTATTATCAATAACAAAATCATACGCGTAAAATCTAATATGGCACTACCTTTATCAATAACAAAATCATACGCGTAAAATCTAATATGACACTACCTTTTTCATTAATCACTCCAAAACCGTAGCCACCATTAATATTTTTAAAATATTCTACCACTCTACCAAAATATCAATTTAAATCTCATCCAATAAAAATTCTGTTGAGAAAATAAGGGCGAAGAAAAACTAGAACGACACAAATCCAGAAGAACACAGAGATTTAACGAGGTTCGGCAAAGATGCCTACGTCCTCGGGAGCAGAGCGGCGAGTTCCTTTCAATATTCAGAAAAGGGTTTACAGAAT